AGTCAATTCCGACTCATAGTGACCCTACAGGACAGAGTAGAACTGCCCGATAGGGTTTCCAAGGAGCGGCTGGTGGATTCAAACTGCCGACCTTTCGGTTAGCAGCCATAGCACTTAACCACTGTGCCACCAGGACTCCGATTATACAGTAGGGGAATCCAAATGAAAACCACAATTAGATAACACTCTATTCCCCTAGGATTGCTATTATCAGAAAAACAAAAAATAAAATGTTGGCCTAGTAAGTGAATAACTTAGAATTCTCATGCATTGCTGGTGGAAATGTAAAATGGTGCAGTCACCATGGAAAACGGTTTGATGGATAATCAAAGAGTTAAAAATAGAAATACTATAACCCAGTAATTCCATTCCTAGGTATATACCCTAAAGTCCTTAAGTTTGATTTTACCAGGTACTGAGGGAAGTAGGAAATGAGGAGCTACTGTATAACCAGTGTGGGTTTTTGTTTAGAATGGTGAAAAAGTTCTGTAAATAGATAGCAGTGATGGTTGTAGAACATGAGAATATACTTAACAGAAATAAAGTGTACCAAGATTAGAATGGTGAAATTTATGTAAAGTTTAATGCAGTAAAATAGGTAAAAAACAAACAGACAAAGCCAATCCTGTTCTCTTTTCTCTGGCTATAGTGCTAAGTATAATACTTCAATTTTCCCCTCAAACCTAAAAATCAAACCCATTACCGTTGAGTCGATTCCAACTCATAGCAACCCTACAGGACAGAGTAGAACTGCCCCATAAGGTTTCCAAGGAGCAGCTAGTGGATTTGAACTGCTGACATTTTGGTTAGTATCCAAGTTCTTAACCCCTGTGCCACCATGGCTCCATTTTCCCCTTAATATCCTCTTAATTTTAACAAAGAATATTTCTTCTCCTTGTACCATATGTCTAACCCATACTGAGCTGTGTTTTACTTCACAGCACTTACCACTATCTGCAATGATATCTTTAATGATTTATTTATAGTCCATGACCTTCATTAGGATGTAAGCTACGTGAAGGTTAGGACCTTGTCAATTTTGTTTACTATTGCATCTCCGGTGCCTAAAACAGTGTCTGGGGCTTGATGGCACTCCATAAATATTTGTTTACTAACTGACTGAATGAATATGCAGGCTGCTGTTCTACTACAATTTTCACTTCCCACTAATCTATGGGCAACCAACCATGTGGATTTAAGATGTTAACTATGTGGATTTGAGATGTATCGTCCTGGAGTCATGCCTCTCCATTGCCTGCTGGACTGTGTGGCTCTGTCCTCACTTTGCAGCCAGCAATAAGCATCCTCCGCCTCACACATTCTGCCTGTGGCCTACCTGCCAGCTCCTAGCCCTTCCCACAGTACATCAAGAGGACACAAGTAATAAGACCCTTTTTAAAAGGTTTATCAGCCTTGCCCTAGTCAATGCTAATTAGAACTCCAATTAGCAAGTGAGAGGTACCACCAGAAACCAGGCAGCCCGGTCACAGCCAGGGAAACCACAGCTTTCTTCTAGAGTTTCTCAACATGCCTTCAGTTCAGCGTCATTTATTGGCTCGGCCTCTTGATTCCTCATCCTACTCTCACTTCCTGCTAACAAAGGGTTGGCCTAGCTTCTCATTTCCCAACCTCCAAAGTATGTTTCCCAAAGTTTACCTCAAGAATCACTCAGTGATTCTCATAATGCTAAACACTAAGCAAAAATATCTTTCCTAGAATCTTTTGATACTGCAAAAAGGCTAGTATATTCCTCCCACTTGTTCCCATGGGAACTTAAGTTCCTAAGAAGCTAGGTCCCCAGTTTGATGTACAGACACCATGGACAGAGCCAGGCTAAGTAACTAACTAACTAATCAATCTTTGGGCCATATCCATTTCCATCTTGAATATGCCCAGAGCACAGGTGTTTGACTTTTCATTCATGAGATCAACAAATTGTGCACTGATATTTGAGGAGTGAACTCTACCAGTAAAAGACGACAGGTTTTTAACGTCGCCCAGATCCTGACTGAGGGGTATTCATTATAGAAAGGAAATGTTATCCATGGGACACTTTAGACCAAGAGCTATAAAATAATGAAAATTATGTCCGGACTTCCCACTTATTCAGTGTTTATCCTTCCTGCCATCAAGGTTAACTGTGGGAATGAATTAACATTCTGTTTCCTAACATTTTGTTCCTAGGATCTAGACTCTGATATACCATCAATTTTATCCCCCTGCTTCCCTTTACTTTCCTCCAGACCCTATAATCAGATTTTCCTCTTCATAACAAGACTTTCAGGAATCTGCTCTTTCCCTTTCTACTTTATGCTATAAATACTCCTAAACCTTGTTCCTTCTCTCCTCAGAGTACTTGTGCCAGTCTCAAGTCTCTATCCTCTTGCTTCATCTCAGTCTCTATCTCAACTTGTGACACATTCCTGCTTGGGTTCTAAGTCATTGTCCCAAGAGTCACAGTGGCTCTTAGACTGAAGTTGAGTTCATCTTCACAACACACAGGGAGATTGATCAGAACATAAAGAGAAGTTTGGCAAAAGAGACATAAAACTGAGTAGAGAAATAATCCTAAACTGTATCTTATGAGACCTGGATCCTCATTTCTGGTCTGCCATGATCATAATTAATATTAAACAACAAATGTTGAAAACAACAACTCCCCATATGGCATTGGATAGATTACTAAACAATTCTTTGCTTCTGTTCTCCCATCTGTCATGCATAGAGAACAATATTGCTCCCTCCTTGTCTCTTAAAGGTGTAAGGGGAGAAGAAACAAGAAAAGTTTCACCTGATTAAAAAACAACAATAATACTACATTAAAATAATACTAAAAAAAAAAAAAGACAAAATAAATCGCTTGATAAACACAAAAGGCAGAGATCCAGGCCTGGTATCAAATTTAGTCATGCATCTAACTAGGTAATTCCCTAAGGAGGGAAAAAAAGAAGCCTACCATATAACTGGAGCCCTAGTGGCACAGTGGTTAGGAGCTTGGCTGCTAACCAAAAGTTCAGGAGTTTGAATCTACCAGCCACTCCTTGGAAACCCTGCGAGGCAGTTCTACTGTGTCCTATAGGGTTGTACCAACTCAGTGGAAACGGGTTTGGGTTTGTTTTTGTTTTTTTTTTCCCAACCATATGACCAGAGGAGCTCTGGTGGCACAGTGGTTAAGGTCTCTGCTGCTAACCAAAAGGTCAGCAGTTCCAGTCCAACAGCTGCTCCTTGGAAAACCCCATGAGGCAGTTCTGCTCTGTCCTATAGGGTTGCTATGAGTTGGAATCGACTCAATGGCAACAGGTTTGGTTTTGGGTTTATATAACCAGAAATCTGGGGTAGCACTGTGGCTCTAATTCAGCTCAGGTATGACCAAATACAGTGCCAGTGCCTAGCGTAGCACTGCAGATTATACAACAAAGCCCCCCAAATCTAGTAAGAGTTTGCTGGATGCAAGGTGCCTTGGAAGACAGTCCTCACAATCTGCTTCTGAAAGGTCACAGCCTCGAAAACCCTATGGAATAGTTCTGCTCTGCACGCATGGGGTCGCCATGCATTGCAACTAATAGCACCAGAATCCAGCCATGACAATAAGCAATTTAAATGTGTAAATTATTACACTTAAGGGTGGCTCATCCCGATCACCAAACCTTTGGCAGAGTTAAGCTCTCTACTAGGGTAACACCTCAACTCTCATAGATTTTATAAGAAGCATTCCATAGTCCTGCAAGATAAGGATCTGCACCTGGACACCGGAACAAGGCTCCTTCCCCATCACTATCTCTAAGCCATCAACCTGGGTTAAATTACCTATTTTAAGTTAGTTTCTCTGTCTCACACTCCAGGGAAGAGCATGAGCCAGGAGGAAGAAAGGTTACTCCCTCATCTTTAGCCTAGCTTTCCCTACCTCTTTTCCTTTTTTGCCCTCCACCTACATAAAAACCAAAACCTGTTGCCACTGAGTCTATTCTGACCGACTCATAGGGACCCTACAGGACAGAGCAGAACTACCCTATAGGGTTTCTAAGGAGCGGCAGGTGGATTCGAACTGCCGACCTTTTGGTTAGCAGCCAAGCGCTTAACCACTGCGCCACCAGGGCTCCCCACCTACATAAAGTTCCCTTTAAATGCGTATGTCATTCTCTGGCCCTTTAAATCCCTACCTCGAGACTTCCCTTCAATTCTCCACACTTTCTCCCCACTTTCAGTTCCCCTCGCCTCCCTCTGGGAGTTTTTCTCCCCGGGGTTCCTTCCCTGCCATCGCTCACCTCACCAACGCAATCATGTCTTCTCCGCGTCGTCTCTCCCCTCCCCTTCCCCATGACACCTCTTGCAGCAGACCCCTTAAGCTGAGATCCTCTCACCACATCCTGTGCGTCTCCGAGCCTCCCTCGCCGCCCTCCCACTTCAGCTCTCTTCCCTCTCCCCTCGGAGCATGGGCTTTCCTGTCCGCCCCAGGTCCCCTGTCTCCCCAACGCCACCGACTATTTGCCCTCCTTCCCGGTCCACTCACAGGAGGCCGGAGCAGGTGGTGCAGACGAAGCTGCCCACGGTGATATCCACGTAGGTGACCCCTCGCTGGGCGCACTCGAAGCAGTGGCGGTTCCCGGCCTGGCTGCAGCCGCCCAGCTCTCGCACCCGGCGACACCACACCTCCGAGGCCACCTCTGCCTCTGCCTTCCCCCCGCCGACCCCGCCACCGGGGCCTGGGCCCTTCTTCGCCGCCATCACCATCGCTGCCCACTCACTCGAACCTTAGCCCCTTCAACCACTGCCGCCTTCCCGCCTCCTCTGCCACCTCCGCACGCTCAGCAACCCTGACAGAAGCGCTGCAGCCGGCGGCATCCGCGCGAGACTCCGCGACCCCTTACTTCTCCTACCGTGCACTCTGATTGGCTACTCTCCTCCCACCTCCTCGCTCTGATTGGCCTGACATTAAACGGCCTCGGTTGAAGGAGCCGCCAATGCCTCGCCCCATTGCCTTAAGGCCTCAGGCCTCTCCCATTGGCCCGCAGAGGCATCGGCCGGGAGAACTACGCGTGCCCTCTCTTGTCCCCTCCCCCTCTCGCCACCGCCTTCCCTGCGTGCCACCTCCCAGCTTTGGTTGGTGTGTCCTCCCACAACTCTCTACCTCCCTCGGAACTCCAGACGCTAGCTCTGATTGGCTGGCAAGGCTGCAAAGTTAGCGCGCGAGGAAGAGGAGGTGTCTGGGGATGCGCAACTCTGGTGCTTAGGACACGGATGACGTTACTTCCCGCCAAATTTCAAAGGCCGACTTCCAGACTAAAACAGACTAGGAAGAAAGCCCTGACCATCTACTTACAAAAATAAGATAAAAACTTTATGGATCACAACAGAATATTGTCTAATATAATGCTGGAAGACAAGTACAAACATACAAGAGGTGTGGTAAAGATGGTCCAGCACAGGGCAACATACTTAAGATCGCTATGAGTTGGAGTCAACTTGGTGGCAACAATAACAACACTCTCAGGTAGACTGTGCAGAGAGGCATGCAAAGCAGAAGAAAAGTGGTTATATGCCAGGCTAAGGGAGAGAGAAGGAGTCCTGGTGGTGCAAGGGTTAAACGCTTGGCTGCTGATGGAAGTTGGCTGTTAGAACCTACCTCTTTTCCCTACCTGGTAGGAGAAAGACCTGACGATCTGCTTTGGTAAAGATTACAGCCAAGAAAAACCAATGGGACAGTTCTACTCTGTCGCATGGGGTCCCTATGAGTTGGAATCGATTCAATGGAACCTAACATCAAGAGGACAGGAGGAAAGAAGGGAGCTCTCAGGGAAGGGAAGAGAAGAGAAAAAAGGAAGTGCTTTGTAAATGCTATTTCATTTATGTGCCATAGACAGAATCTCCATTTTACAGAGAAGTTTTAGGTTAACAACTTACCATAGGCCATATAACCAGTAAGTGACCCAGCGAGGATTCTAATCTGGACCTTCTGACTTTAGAAATCCTGCTCCTAACCACCACACGACTCTTCAAATAGTATTTGAATATTTATTTGACAAACACTGAGTGTCTACTATGGTTTCAGGCACTGTTCTAGACACTGGAAATACAACGGTGAAAACAAACAGAAGTTCCTATCTTCCTGGAGCTTACATTCTAATAGGGGGAGGCAGATAATAAACAAATTAAAGAATCACCAGTTAATGATAAGTTCAATAAGGTATTGTAAAGGAAAGTGACTTATTGGGTACTTTAGATTGGATTGGTTAGGGGAAACATGTCTTAAAGGGTAACGTTTAAGCTGAGACCTGAATTACAGAAAGGAGTTAGCCAAGAGGATATCTCAGGAGGAACATCCCAGGCACAGGGAAAAGCAAGTACAAAGGCTTGAAAGCAGGAAGAAATTTGATGTGTTGAAACAGCAAAAAAGAAAACCAGAGTTGTTGGAGCATGGTGAATGAGGAGAGAACAGTCGGAATGATACTGGAGAGGGACTAGATCATGAATAACCTTCCAGACTTTGGTAAGGAGTTTGAACATTCTTCTAAGTGTGAGGGAGAGCTGTATTAGTTAGAATTAGATTCCGTTAAAAGGAGTCCCTGGGTGGTGCAAAGAGGTACCATGCTCACTTGCTAACTGAGGTTCAAGTACACCCAGAGATGACTTTGTGACCTACTTCTGAAAGAATCAGCCACTGAAAACCCTATGGAGCACAGTTCTACTCTAATACACATGGGGTTGCCATGAATTGGAATTGACTGAACAGCACCTGTATTTTTTTTTTTAATTTTATGACAGAAAACCCCTAGTAATTTAGGCTTAAACAAGATGAAGTTTATTTCTCGCTCATGTAAAAGTCTAGGTAGGAAAAAAAAGTCTAGGTAGGCTTTCAGGGCTGGTGGGTAGCTCCACTGTGTCAGGGACCCAGGCTCCTTCTATCTTGTTGCTTCATGGTGCATTACCTCCACTCCCAAGTTCATCTCATGATCTATTCTAGCTTCAGCCATCAGCAGTAGCATTACAGCAGCAGGAAGGGCCAGCTCTTTTTAAGGAAATACCAGGAAATGACCAAAAATGAGAAGGAATAGCTACAAACATCCATTAATAATCAGAACTTGGCCTGTACCAATATGAATCTAGGAAAATTGGAAGTAATCAAAAATGAAAAGGAATGCATGAAGATCGATATCCTAGGCATTAGTGAGCTGAAATGGACTGGTATTGGTCATTTTGAATCAGACAATGATATGGTCTAGTGTGCTGGGAATGACAAATTGAAGAGGAATGGCGTGGCATTCATTGTCAAAAAGAACATTTCAAGATCTGTCCTGAAGTACAACGCTGTCAGTGATAAGATAATATCCATACGCCTACAAGGAAGACCATTGTTCAAATTTACAACTGTTATTCAAATCTACGCGCCAACCACTAAGGCCAAAGATGAAGAAACTGAAGATTTTTACCAATGTCTGTAAGCCTGAAATTGATCATATATGCAGTCAAGATGCATTGATAATTACTAGTGATTGGAATGCAAAAGGTGGAAACAAAGAAGAAGGATCAGTAGTTGGAAAGTATGGCCTTAGTGATAGAAACGATGTCAGAGATCACATGATAGAGTTTTGCAAGACCAACGACTTCTTTATTGCAAACACCTTTTTTCAACAACTTAAGCTGCAACTATACACGTGGACCTCGCCAAATGAGATACTATATTTGTGGAAGGAGACGATGTGGAAGCTCAATATCATCAGTTAGAACAAGGCCAAGGGCTGACTGTGGAACAGACCATCATCAACTGCTCATATACAAGTTCAAGTAGAAGCCAAAGAAAATTAAAACAAGTCCACAAGAGCCAAAATAGAACCTTGAGTATATTCCACCTGAACTTGGAGACCATCTTAAGAATAGATTTGACACATTGAACATTAATGACCGAAGACCAGATGAGTTGTGGGATGACATCAAGGATGTCATACATGAAGAAAGTAAAAGGTAAAAAGACAGGAAAGAAAGAAAAGGCCAAAACAGATGTCAGAAGAGACTCTGAAACTTGCCCTTGAATGTAGAGTAGATAAAGCAAATGGAAGAAATGAGGAAGTAAAAGAGCTGAACAGAAGATTTCAAAGGGCGGCTGGAGAAGACAAAGTAAAGTATTATAATGAAACGTGCAAAGACCTGGAGATAGAAAACAAAAAGGGAAGAACATGCCTAGCATTTCTCAAGCTGAAAGAACTGAAGAAAAACTTCAAGCCTCGAGTTGCAAAACTCAATCCTCAAGGATTCTATGGGCAAAATATTAAACAATACAGGAAGCATCAGAAGAAGATGGAAGGAAGACACAGAGTCACTGTACCAAAAAGAACTGGTCGATGTTCAACCATTTTAGGAGGTAGCATATAATTAAGAACTGATGGTATTGAAGGAAGAAGTCCAAGCTGCACCGAAGGCACTGGTGAAAAACAAGGCTCCAGGAATTGACAGAATACCAACTGAGATGTTTCAACAAACAGATGCAGTGCTGGAGGTGCTCACTCGTCTATGGCAAGAAATTTGGAGGACAGCTGCCTGGCCAACCAATTGGAAGAGATCCATATTTGTGCCCATTCCAAAGAAAGGTTACCCAAATGAATGCGGAAACTGTCGAATAATATCATTAATATCACACACATAAAATTTTGTTGAAGATCGTTCAAAAATGGTTGCAGCAGTACATTGATAGGGAACAGCCAGAAATTCAAGCTGGATTCAGAAGAGGATGTGGAACGAGGGATATCATTGCTGATATCATTGGCTGAAAGCAGAGAATACCAGAAAGATGTTTACCTGTATTACTCTGCGGATCATAACAAATTATGGATAGCATGGAGAAGAATGAGAATTCCACAATACTTAATTGTGCTCATGAGGAACCTGTACATAGACCAAGAAGCAGTCGTTCGAACAGCAGCTAACAACAACCAGGAAACTGCACACAACCACATCAGCTCTCATCCCGTTGGCCAGAACTTAGTCACATGACTACGTTAAGTATAAGGTGGGATTCTGGAAAATGTATTCTTTACTTTGGGCTTTATGTGCCCACCTAAATTTTAGAGATTTTATAACAGAGGTAGAAGGCTGTTGTTGTTAGGTGTCATTGAGTCAGTTCCGACTCATAGTGACCCCATGTACAACGGAACGAAACACTGTCCTGTCCTGTGCCATCCTCACAATCGTTGTTAGGTTTGACCTCAATGTTGCAGCCACTGTATCAGTCCATCTTATTGCGGATCTTCCTCTTTTGCGCTGACCTCTACTTTACTAAGCATGATGTCTTTCTCCAGGGACCGGTCCCTCCTGATAATAAGTCCAAAGTATGTGAGACGAAGTCTCGCCATCCTTGCTTCTAAGGAGCATTCTGGCTGTACTTCTTCAAGACAGATTTGTTAACTCTGCTAGCAGTCCGTGGTATATTCATATTCTTCGCTAACACTACGATTCAAAGGCATCAATTCTTCTTCAGTCTTCCTTACTCATTGCCCAGCTTTCATATGCATGTGAGGCAATTGAAAACACCATGGCTTGGGACAGGCACACCTTAGCCCTCAAAGTGACACCTTTGCTTTTTAATGCTTTCAAGAGGTCTTTTGCAGCAGATTTGCCCAATGCAATACATCATTTGATTTCTTGACTGCTGCCTCCATGGGCATTGGTTGTGTATCCAAGTAAAATGAAATCCTTGACAACTTCAATATTTTCTCCATTTAGGTAGAAGGAGAGGAGACATATTAGAATAAAATCACCATCTCTGCCACAGAAGCCATTGGAAGGGTTTTAGCAGGG